TTTATTTTATTTTATTTTATTTTTGTGCCTTCAAGTCAGTGTTGACTCCTGGTGACTGCCTGGACATGTTCCTGAAGTTTTATAAATTACCACCACTTTAATATTATATTTTTTGCTTGTAACACATGCATAATTAAACAATTTGTAAACATATATAAATGTAGAATTAACATGGCAGAGAGTGTGTGGCTATGAATGGTATCAACCAGCCTATTTACAAGACCAGTTAAAACATTGGCTAGCAAAAAATGCAGAAGCTGGTTTTTGTTCACAGCACTGATCAGGCACATACTCTGAGATACTGTTTTTCTGTGCAAGAATTCCAAATTAGTTTTTTTATATGTTGACGACTGCAGCAAATTCCAACTACAAGGAATATCAGCCCCACCCACAAGAAGCTTTGCGAATATGAGAACGAGATCAACTGCTAAAAAACAACTGAAGAGAAGCAAGCAGTGAGCAACAATCCATATACAAAAAGAAAGATTTGCCATTCGTCGGGATGCAACGTCAATGTACAACTGAGTAATGCAGAGACATACGAGAAGGAGAAAAATGGCCAGTAAAAAGTAGGAGATTACTCTAAGCCACTCTCTTGCTGTTGTTCTCTTTCTTAACAAATACAAACCTACTTGCACGCTAGCCATGTAGATAGCAAGGTAACCAATGACAGAAAATACGCCCTCTCTGTTGGCATTTAAAAAACCAATCCTTGAATCTTGCCCATTGCTTCCATGCAGAATAAACATCTTCAGAGGTGTAATGTCAAGAAAGCATTCATAGGCTACAGCAAGCACCACTGCGACAATCCAGGCCTTGTGCACAGGGAATGTGGTCAGGAGCAGTGATGCAGCCATTCGTACGACAGCTAAAGTGAAGAAAAAGTTCCAGTGCACGCCATACTCAGTGACATGTTCATAATAGTCAGCTGCTTTGACACTCATCAGTCGTCCAAAGCCAAGGAAAAGGAGGGGCCACACGGTCAAGAGTTGCCTTGTGAGATAAAAGAATTTGTGTTGTATTGCAGCAGGTTTCAGCCGAACCTCTGGACAAACCACAGCGTTTCCAAAAACAAATAATCCAACTCCCAAATCCATCACTCCTGTTCCATAAGTCTCAGTTTTGGCGTATCGCCGGGGATACTGTGGGAAGTCTACAGCCAGGATGCTAATGGATGTCCACAAATTGCTAAAAACTCGAAACGTGGTTATGGAGGGAATGTATTCTGGTTCCAGGTTTGTTCTCAGGAAATCATCTGAGATTTGCTTAAGTGACACTTGGGCATAATTTGTCCGTTTGCTATAAATGACAAAAAGCAAGCCTGTGCAGAATGCCATAATGAAGAGGATCAGAAAAGGGAGTATGGAAGCTAAAATTGTACAGGAAAGTAGTGGAGGGACAACTAAGAGAGTGAAGTCAAGAAAAAAATTACCATACATTGAACATAAAGGACTTCCATAGTGGAGAAAATACAAAATTAGAAGCAATCCTCTGGTAAGAAGACATAATGGTGCAAGAGGTAAGCCAATAGAAATTTCAAGTAAGGTGGTTCCATTCAGATTACTTATAAAGGCTTCTTTTACCAGCTGCTGTGACATTTTTCTGCCTCTGCAAAGTTGCATTTAAAACAAACAAAAATCAGAATGGCAAGCAAGTACAACAGAAATCAAAAGCAAGCAACTGAGTTTATTTCAAGATAGATCCCCACCATTCAAAGATTTCTATCCTAAATTCAAATGGGAATAGTTGATGAAAAAAGTGGGTTAGCAATTACGTCTTTTCTCCCCAATACAGCAAGGCTTGTATCCCTGTTTAATGTCAACTCAGAATCCCTTGACAAAAGGTGATCTGTCAACAGCTGTCATGAGCCACCCTCTCTCTCTTTGCTGAACTCTTCAGGGTAATTTCTGAGTTGGTTCACTGTATTAATAATTCCTAGGTTGGCTGTCTCCTCACTAACATATGCCAGATATAGTGGGACTGCAGCTCACAGAATTCCCATCCAGCAGTCATTCCCAGCATATCTGGAAGACGATAGCCTTGAGAAGGTACAGTAGAACTGTAACCATTTGGTAAGAGCTGACGTAGAAGTTAGCTTCCAGTGGTGTACCCAAGCCCATTTTTCCACCATAACCAAATCATCCCATGTTAATACATTAATCCAATAATGTTTAACTTTCAACAACCTAAACTACAGACATCCAACTACAATGATGTCATGCAGAACATATCATCTCTTGCTCTTCCTGCTCACTCCCTCTACTTTTTGCAGACACCTACAGTGGGAACTAAAGTGGGATATTGACATCTCAGCCATCTTATTTCAACATGTCCATAAATGAAAGAATGGATCATCGTGCCATAATTTGAAACGTTTAGGAGATGAGAGGTCATGTGGTCCTAGAGTGCTACCTATGTGGTCCAGCACAGATATTATCGTCCTCTCTACTCTCATCTTTTGGACTGGAATGGCATGCAGGACCTTTGCATTGTGGGCAACCATTTGCAGCAACTCACCAAACTTCAGATGTTATTAATGCCATGTAAGCATGTTCTTCCTGGCAGTCCATTGACCCACTGATGGGCCACCTCCTAAAGCAGTCTGTGGTGGTCTCCAGATGGGCTGGATCTCAATTCTCAGAATTCCCCAGCAGGGCCATTTTTAAAATTGTGAGAGTTAAAGTCCACACATTTTGGGAAGGCTGCCTAGGAAGAGCCCAGGGAACAGAACTCACCAGCAAAGACTCATCCCCCTTCCTGCTCAGGGTTGCCGAGCTGGAGGGCTTCCCCAGCCCCATAAACAGTCCTGCTTGGAAGGCAGATGAGAAAGATTTGTGCAAGAAGGTATCTTCTGACCAAACCCATCATGTCATCCAGAAATGAAAAAGATGACTGCCACAATTTACACTGAAATACTGTGTGGGAAAGGTATAGAAGTCTAACAGATAAAGATAAGATAAATGTAATAAAGAAAAAAAATAAGTATGTACCTCTGTGCACAAGCAGATAATTCAAGGATGATTCATCACTCTTCTCAGCACGTTTTTTTTTTGTGGCCAGCAGATTCCTTAGAAATTCCTCACTCTGCCAAAAAACAACATAATTATCCTTTAGAGTCTACAAATTCAAAGAAAAATTACAATGTATTCTGACTGACAAGGCATGTTGGACCTGTAACAAAACGTTGCAGTGCAAAATGTGAAGTGCTACTATACAGTGTTCCAGTAAATATATTCAGATTTACTCCATTTCATTTCAATTCTGTTTATCCCCAAACTGGTCTACAGCAGTCTGGAGTGCCTGAAATGTTAATCTCTTTTTGGGCTCATTAGTGAATATGGAAGTTGGACTTGAGGTTTTCCTCCCATAAAGATGGAAGGGGCAGAGAATGATTAAAATTCAATCAGGGCATAAATACTATTTTATGCTATTTGTATACCAACCACAAACATATTTCTTTGAACTTCTGACGATAAAAAAAATTAAACGGTAACATCAAACAAGCAATTAAGTATTCAGTCAGACACCAACATTGTCCATAGTATAAAATTGTTACAGGAATCATAGAAAATGTATAGGAAGAGTTAAAATAATTAAATTTAAAATTCAAACAAAATTCCCTCGGAAGCTGCTCACCAGGCAGTGCATTGCCAAAGTGTTGGTTTGGATGAGCCTGGGACCTTCTCTTCTGAAGCAATGAACAAATAAATACATGCTTACAAATATCCCCAAACTATGGATATTAATTCACACATACACAGTAATGGCTGGAAGACAGCAGCAGGAAGAGAGAAAATCAATTTAAAACCCAGTTCAATGCTTATAAATCCGTTGCTTTGCATTTTTCAAATATTCATCCGGAAATGCTCTGAAAGAATAACCTACATGAATCACCAGGGAGACGAATTCTTAAAAAACAGAAATGGTTACTTCCTCCACAGGATGACTCAGCTTATAAAGAAGAATGCACTTTCAAGAGAATATGACATTTGAAAACTTGGGATACAGTTTCTTCCTTTGCCTTCCGCTGCGGATTATTTTAAACTTCCTGCTGCTACAGCATAGTACCAAAAAAAAAAAAGTAAATAAGGGATCTGTTTCCTCGCGACATTTTCATCAGCAAATATCCTGCTAAACCGTACTGCCTGATTCACCACGCTGCTGGAGCAATGCCTGCTTGTTTTCTATTAAAAGCACAGATGACTAAAATGACACTAAAAATAAATTCAAAATTATGTTCTGGTCATATGCATGTGAGCTCTTTCATCTAAATCAGAGTCTTATAGAATCTTAAACTTGTAATAGATTCATTACAGTTTTGATAAATCAGCCAGTCCTCATGTTGTAAAATATTGGGGGGGGGATTTTGATGTTTAGCTGTTAGATCTTATTTATTAGTTCTGGGATAACTCAATAGCATGTAGATTGAATTCAGAAGATCCTATTTTATTCATACTATTCCAAAAAGAAGATTAAGTCCCCCCCCCCCAATAATTTATCTTTAAAATGGGGGTGGAGGGAGTCTTAATTTGCAGAGAATATACCAATGAGTCTTTTTCATTTCAGTTTGGCAGATTGAAATGTTCTGCTGGTTTCTGAACATCACCATTTTGGTGTCATGACTTTGAGTATTTTATCAGTTTATTTAACTTGCGTTATTGGATTCTAACATAATTGGCTAGATCCACATTTACGCTTACACCAGCCACACGTAATTGTACAATAGTCCAGTAAGCCATAATAGTGTCGTTGTAACCCACAGCTTGATTCATTCAACCAAGCCACAGAACAAACCGTTCTTCGGCCCAAACATGTGTGAACTCAGCCATAGTTAAGGTCAGAGACACTGAAATCAGTGGGGCTTACCAAAGTAACAGATCCCATTGACAGCAAGAGGTTTATTCCAGGCTTGATAAAACTTGGACCCAAACCTCTAAATCCATTTTTTTTTTTTTGCACAGAGGAAAAAGTGCAAGAAGAAAAAGTGATCTTTCCACATGTCATTCATAAAATTTCGAGTGTCTCTATCTACTCACCACAATTTGGGTTAGCAGACCTACACAGAATCATGGCTTCAGTACTTACCCCTAACCAGCCAGCCTCCTGCCCCTCTGAAACAATCCAAAACTATCAAATTGTGTGTTTGGCGTCTGTACCTGTTAGAAGCGATTCCTCCAGATTTCAGACGCAGAGGGGCATTTCCCCTCTCCACTACAGTAACTGAATCCCTGCAAGTTGAAAGCTAGTTCTTTGGGGGGGGGGGAACCTATTCTTTTAATCCAGCTCTAATGTTTTACTTGGAAGGACCATGGGTGTGCCTGTATACATCCTTGTAAGACCAAGAATTACCGGCAAAATGAATGAAACTATTTTGTGTCTTTTGTATATTTTTGAATATTTTGAAACTATTTTGTGTCTTTTGTATATTTTGTCTTTTGTATATTTTGTGCCTTTGATGAAGACACAGAACTGCATACAGCAGGGTTCCTCAACCTTGGCCGCTTTCAGATGGGTGGACTTCAACTCCCAGAATTCC